TTTTTAATTTATAGTCTGATTATATTGAGTTTACTGAAAGATATGATACTGTATTAGTTCATTAAAAAAATTGGTTTAAAACTTATTTCTGGTGTGTTGCTCTATTAAAACTGACTAATACTGGTACGTCTTTCTGTTAAAAGTATTTTTTCCCTTATTGTGTTAGTTAAGAGGGGTCTGTGAAAGGCAATAAAAGGAAACACCCTGAAGAAAAAGGGTCTACCTAAAATCAACATGTTGCATGAAGCCATAAATTACACAACTTAAGGTATATAAATTAATTCCATTCCCTGTATAAGAGTTGCACAAGAATCTGCCTGAATCAGAATAATTTTATTAATCCTTTGCAGGAAATTCTTTTCTTGCAGTGCAACTGTTAACAGAAGAGAGGTGAAAATAAGATTATACATACAATAGAGCAAAAATAAAATATGACTGAATAAAATAAATAAAATTACAACCCACACAGTACAATTAAACCCTTCAAATATAAGCAGTGTAAAATAAGATATAAGGATACAAATAAACTATACATATCACTGAAATATACAGTTAAGCCTTAAATTCATACTAGTGATGCGTTTCTTTTGATTAGAGAGGAGATGTGTCACATGATATGACGTCAGCAAGAGATTTCACATTATTTGGACTCTGCTACTTTAGCTTTTTAAGGTCTTCTAAGTGAAATACTTTTTTTTTTAATGACCTGTATTCTCCAACCATTCATACCATGCTAGTCTGTCAGGGGTGTTTAAAAAGGGATGGGAGGAACCTCTTCTTTGTTTTCTACATTTCCTGTTATACATTTCTGTAAATATCGCCATACTCTTTAGGGTTTGTTTTGGTTTTCATCCTGCATAGGCAGGGGCAGTTCCAGACAAAAATTGAAATGTAAGTAAATAATTTTCTTTATAGTTGAGTCTATTTTCCCTTGATCTGAGTTACTGGGTAAGGCAACTTTCCAATGGAAAAGCTGATGTATGATTAAGATAAAAAAATAAAAAAAACTTCACTGACACAAGCTATCAATAATCACTGCTGCCACCCTCTGGTTTAGAGGGACCTGCTTGTTTCCTCATTAAATCACCATCTCAATGGTAAAAATTCATTTTAAAAAGTCCTTTATCCAGATTATAAACTGGACTCTCACCTAAATGTCATGGATTGTTTCTTGGCATGAAGCGCACCTCTGGTAAAGATTTCATTAAAATCGTTAACTTTTTGAAGTTATCTTGTACACAGACAGATGGACAAACACACATACAAACTCATCCCTTGGTCAGATCATTGTATTTCCCTACTCAAAGTAACGGCACTTATTTCAAAAAATGTTTTATTTACCTGGATCAGTTTTTGCAGTCTAATGCTAAATCAATTTTATAATGACATGGGCTGACAGAGGGAACCATAACAGATTGTCCCTTGGAGCAATGTAATATTTGGCCTTTATAATTTACATTATCAGTTATTTTTAATTTACAGTCAACTTTAAGATTCAACCGTATTAAGATAGGATCACATTTGTCATCTGGTAGATGCAAAGGGGTACTCAACCTTAGCTTTGTGGCTTGCCTAATATTCAAAACAATGTGCTCTTGCCCTTTTTTGTTTGTTTTTGTGTGTTTTTTATACTTTTATTCTATGAAAAAACACTTGTGCCACCTTATTTTGCACCACTCTTGTAAATCTAGGATCGCCACAGCCCTTGGGATTGATAATCTAAGGTTATCAATTTATGCAGGGGTCTTCAACGTTTCCCAGTCCAAGAACACCCAAACTAATGGCGAGATGGAGAGGGGAACCCCTAATTATATATATTTAATGAAATTGTGTTATATCAAACTGGTCCTATAGTCCCTCTGTTACATATGGAGTAATGTAACGACAGTAATTTCTCCCTAGGATAATTAAAGTATTTCTGTTTCTGGTTCTGTTTCCTGGTTGATGGGACAGGTGTTGTGAATGAAACGGTGTCCAGCTTAAAAGAGCTCCTGTGTGTCGCTGAATGTTTGCATTGATGACTGAAAGACATCTTCTTCCTCCATTTATCTATTTACTGCAGTGTGTTGAACCTTAATTTCAATTAGTGGAAAAATTATAATGTATAAATGTATAAAATATAATATAAAAAATATTTTTTTTAAAGTCTAATCAACCAAAACTTTCGAGACCCCAATGCAGTACTACCGTGGATCCCCTAGGGGTCGCTGACCCCTGTTGAAGACCTCCGAACTAACGTATTCGAGGGAATCTTGCGTGTTTCCTTTCTTCCGGATGGTGGCGCTAATGCGCTACTCAGCTGGTTTTACAGCAGCTAAAGCCGCCCCAAGCAGCTGCAGTAGCGGCATCATAGCAGCTGTACTGAGTAGTTTTCTGCCATTGACAGCGCTGGTTTGTTTTGCTTAAAAAGTGACATACCTCTTTGCGATGAAAACACCGGGTGAAGGGTCTGTTACCGAACCGGAGCTGCAATGAAGGTGCATTGTTTTAAAATGTGTCTGTTTTCCACAGTAACAACTAGCTAATCCTGGCTAACATAATGGTGCTAACGGGATATTAGCCATTAAAATGCTTCGCTGGTTTATGGATACGTTTTTGGTGATTTTTTGTATTAATATTTGTTATCATTTTTGTTGTGTTATTATAACAATACGCAATTGTTTCGGCTATCTTTATGGCGTTTTACTAAAAAAAAATGTGTCACTATAATTTATAATAATAATTTTCTTTTTTTGTTGTTATTGTGATTGCTCTGTTTAGAAATCATTGTATTTTAATAGCCGCTCATTTTTGACGGTGTTGCTTACATTTAGGAAGATTATCTTCAACGTGGACTTGAGTTGACACCTTTATAATAAGTCTGCTGTCATGTTTCAGGCCGAGGCTTCTTCATTGTGGGCTTCATGCTGTGGTCTGCTGAATGAAGTCATGGGTACAGGGGCCGTCAGGGGCCAGCAGCCAGGGTTTGGGGCCGGTGCAGGGCCCTTCAGGTTCGCCCCCAGTGCGGGATATTCCACCTACCCGCCCAACACCTCAGGGAACCCCAGCCTTGTTTGCAAAGCTTGTGGACAGACCTTCTCAGTCTTCAGGAGGAAGGTGAGTCTTCTGGGTTAATTTAAGGACATGGTGTAGATATATTCCAACTTTTTATCAACA